GCCCTTCTCCCTTTCTGAGTAATGAGGCAGCCCCAGGTATTAGTGAAGATCAGGTACAAAACAGGAGGATGGGGCTTCGTTTGTCATTTCCGTCTTAGAAGTCTGACATTTTTCAAAGCAGCTCTTATGCAGCATTGAAATAAGCTCTAGCGTCTGAGTACTTTCCACTGTGTCTAGAGAGTAGCAGTTCTAAACAAACACCTACAGTTTTATCTCTGTCCCACTGAGTGTTTGACTGCTCAGCCACAGCATCCTGCACTTCTCCGTACTGCTGTGCAGTCAGCACTTGAGAAAGGCATCCTTTGGAAGCTCACTTTATTGTGGTTTGCCCAACTGACTGCCCCATTGTCACTTGCTTGGGCAGAAGGTCCAGCATGTATGTCCCAAACCTGACCTTCTGGTGGATATGCATCCCCTCTTTCCGAAGGATGGGAAGGCAGGCAGTGTCAGACCAGGCCTTGGAGTCCAGGGTGCCTTTGTTTTGGTTTCTGGTCATTCTTCTCCTTTAACAGAAGTAAATCAGGTGGGAGAGAGATGTTGAGTCTCTCATATACAGCCCAGCCACGCCTTACCAGACAGGGTCACTCAGGCAAGTGTCTGTCTTCTTCACGAGAAAACAGTAGCTTTGCTAAGACCCATATTCTCTTACTCTTTGAAAGCAATAGGGCCTTGGCTCTATGACAGCCAGTGGGTCAGACCCATGGGGTGAGCAGCACAGGGCTGCTCCAGCTGGCCTCCCCATCAAGACACAAGGGAGCACTAGCAGTAGCTAAATAGCCACAACAGCTCCCCAACACCCCCCACATAACAGGGCTGTCAGGACAAAGCAGGATGAAGGAGTCAGAGCAGCAAACGCAGCCCAAGTGAAGGTAGAAAAACAGAAAATGGAAAGCAAGCAGAGCACAAGACAACCAGGCCAGCTAAGGTACAGGCAGGAGCCTGTGTGCCAGCCTCTGCCAAAGGAGGCACCCCAGAGAAGCTACGGGAGGCAGGCGGTTCTGCAGCTCTGTGCAAGAAAGACTCCAAGTACCTCCTCCCTCTTTGCTGATGGTGCACACAGGGCAGGGGCTTCCTTAAGAGCTCTAATGAACAGGCAAGGACACAGATCCATAGTCCCAGCATAAAAGGCAAATGAGCATCTGGGAATCGGATGCCTTTTGTTTTCCATCAGCTGGAAACCAGCAATAGTAACAAGGCCCCCCATTTCTGAGCTTCTTTCAGTCATCCTGTGCTTATTAATGGGGTGATGGTTTCAGGTGGGGGTTAAGGGGACTCCACATAACATGCTAGGTTGATAACACTGAGTTTGCCCTCAGGCACTTTGATAGGCAAGCTCCATCACGGTAGTTCTGTTGCCAATTGATCAGCCACTTAGTTAGACGTTACCTCTTTCTCTGATGAACTTCACTCTCAATGTATCCTGGGGCTATTTTCAGCCACTCAACTGCATCCCAACATTGCCGACCCAGCGGAAGTGGTGGCAGCTTTGCCTTATGTAGTTCATTCATTTCCTTGGCAGAATATATTCTTCCTGCAGGCAGTGAAAGAGTAACTTGTGTGAACAGCAGCACCATCGCTAGGTGGCAGGGCTGTTGCTGGGCATGAACTTCTTTAGAGAAATAAATGGGGATGATGTGCAATACCTGTCTCACACTGCTGGATAATCCCTTTCTCAAGGTACTTTCCTTGCACCTCCTTTAACAGGGGATCCTGGAAAGGTGGAGTTGAAACCTGTAATGGAGGCAGGCAGTTCATACTTTTGTACCAACAAACATTTCCTTTCAGTGGTGGTGGGGGGGCAGTCTGACAAAAGTTACCCCTCAAAGCACCGCTGTGAATAAGAAAGTGTCATTTGTCCTTTTTGTGGATGGGAAACTCAGACCCACTGAGGTGGCAGGCCCGAGTTTTGGAAGTGCTGAGCTCCCCAGCTCCCAAATGAAGCCACAAGTGACACAGTAATGCTGTAGCAAGATCATGAACCTGCCCTGCATGCCCCACCGTCACTCACCTACTCTAAGCACCGGTCTTATTCTTCATCCTCCTGAAAGGTTCACAACTCCCCCATAGCAAGTGTAATGCACATCTGCACCACACCTACAATTGGTGCTAAGCTCCAGTCTGCCCGAGACACAGTAAATGTTGCTTTAGTAGCCAGTGTCCCACTACTATGTCCATGGCTTGTAGCCATAGAGTAATCTCCACTTTACACAGTCTCCTGTTAATACTTCCCCCATTCTTAATGAAAAGGTATTTCAGAGGGAATAAATCTCATTGTACAACTGTTGTCTCTTTGGAATCAAATCAAAATCTCTTCTGGTTACAGGAAAGTATAATTAAGAACAGTCCCTATTCTACTACCAGGGGAAAGTATCCTAATCTGGCACCTGTATTCTCTTCCCAATTTACCCCCCACCTCTTTCCCTTTTCCGGTGAAGTGTTATTTAAAACAACCCAGGTGGCTGTAATAAAGATGTGTTATTTAATTCAAACTTGTAGAGTGTATGTGTGCATGTTGTTGTTGTGATATACGTAAGAGCTGCTCTGAGGCTTTTGGATAGGATAGGACATAAACATAAAATACTTCTGTTGCCAAGGGAGAAAACTTGTTCTCCCTCCTCTTTATGGCAGCGTATTTGCTGCTTGTCCCCCCAGTTGCTTTTTCAGCAAACTAGATGCGTCTAACTCTCTCGAGCTGTCTTCATCTGACTTGCCTAGAGGAAGGACTAGTGCCAAGGAGTAATCCTTAACCTCTAAATTGCAGTCAGGCTCTCCATGTAAGTGGAGACAGCTTCAACCAAAGGGAGAACACCCATCCCCGTCCTGTAGCGGCCTGTTGGCCGAGGCCAAGAGCACGCCTCCATGAAGTGACACATGGGTTTGAGTGCCCTTAAGTTAAGGAGGGTATTGAATGATGGTGTCCTACATTGAGTGTTTTGAACTATGATAGGAAAAGGGGCACTCTCAGGAATGATTTGGAGGAGTCCCTGTATGTCATGCAGTTTATCTGAATTAAATTGCCCGTTAAGTTTGGCAGCCAATGAGAAGCTAGGAGCAGTTTTTGTTTATATGGGCCGTGGTTTGGTGTGAAAGCATTCTGTAATTTGGTAAGATGACTCAAACAAAAGATGGGCAGTGAGTCCATTGGCTTGGCTAGGTGTCAAACTGGGAGGACACTTGCAGGCCTATCAAAGCAGAGAGGAGGCCAGTCTGTGGAAGGTGCCTACAGTGGTACAAAGGAACGAAAAGGTGATAACCTCAAACAGTGATGTGTATATGCCAAGGAAGAGCCATTCACAGAGAAAACCCAGACTGTCAAGCACATAGAAAGAAGGACCATCAAAACAAGGAGGCAACCAGTCTCTGGGAGGAACATCCAGAATTGGGACATCTATCCAGTAGCCAGGAATGAGAAGTGTTAGCTTTGTACAAAAGCAAGTTTGTTCCTTTGCCAAGGGAATTTCAGATCTCCAGGCAGACAGTAATGCTCTGGAGAACCCTCCTGCTCCCCGAGATCTGGGGAGAAAGGTAAAAATGGGAGGAGCTGGCTTCAAGGTATTTAGGAAGCTTGTTGGGAAGTCAGACCTGATAGAGTCCGCAGGGAGGCTGGTCTGGTCTGTGGAAATACTGACGAAGCTCTCTGAGGGTCAGAAAAGAGGGTGGGATTCTTCCATTTGGTTTCTGTATCCTGTCTTCAAATTCTCTGGTTACTTTTTCTTGTGAGATTTCTCTCTCTTGTATTAACAAAACTTTTTACTATTTTATTTACCGCACTGTTTGCCTATGCTATTCAGAGCAATCGATAACTTCAGGCCTTGTCTCTTGCAGAAGAGTGGGCCTGCAATTTTATACAAACCTAGGGTGAGAGTCTTGGAGCTAGCAGTTTTTTTGTTGTAGTTGCAAGATCTAATCTGAGGACAGGTAGAGCTAAGGTTTGCAGGGACGAGAAGTCATCTGGGGACAAATGTTAAGTCTGTGTCTTGTAGATTAGCAGCAGGACAGCAGGGAGAAGGAGAAACCTGGGGCTCTGGGGACTCCCCACAACAGTGGTTTGCCACATACAGCACCACCATTTTGAAGGAGAGCATTCACTGCCACTGCATTTGGTGTGAAGTCCACTGAGCAGGTGTGCTCAGAGCACACACGCTGGCTTAAACACCTCAGGTGAGACATTTGTGAAGCGTGAGACGCTTCTGGGCTTGCACAGAGGAGAACTTAAGGTGTCTGGAAATGTAAATGTAGAAAACCACCAGACTTCAGGTATCCCCCAGGTTAGGCGGCAGCTGAAAGTTTTAACAGTCACAATCTGGGTCTGAAGAGTCTAAGTTTTTACAGATAAGAGCCAACTGTCCTACTAAATTCCTATGCTTGTACAGTTTATCTTCACCCAGGCAGCCAGACAAACATACTATTCTACGTTGCTTACAAAACCCTGCCTACTGAGAGCCCCACCAAGCCCTTCTCACGGGACATTCTTCCCAGACAACTAGAATAAACTTGAATAAAGCAAGAAAAAAATTCTTCTGAACTATCTGATCTCTCCAGTTGGCCAAGTCCAACCAAAACTGAATTTAAGGCTGATAGGACACCAACCTGCCTCCAGCAAGTCAATTTTCAAATCCCCATGGACTTCAGTGGCAGCAGGATTACTACCCAGTTTTGTAAAAATACTGTTCATGAAACTTGCTCTCCTAAATACAACCACCTATGCTACCACCTATCCTAAGATCAATATTTCAACAGGTACAGGTGTCCCCACTCTTGATCAAACAGTGCAGCTAAAGTCCAAAGAGCAAGCACCCATCCTACCTTCCAGTAGTTGGTACGTGTTTTCAGGAAGAATGGATCGTACTCCGAAGCATCGTAATCTTCAAAAACGACACTGCCCTGTTGGGAAAACAAAGTGACACAGATCGTGGCTGATACGGCACCTAGACATGCTGCAGTGCAGTTATGCTGAGGCCTCGACAACACAGATTACATGAACATTTATAAAGTTGGAATTAGTGGTCACCAATCTTCTTGGTTCACATACCACCTTCAAATATGATGCATATTTGAAGACCCACAGGCAATTTAACTTTTTATTTAAATTTACCTTTCATAAACTGAACTTAGGCATTTACTTTACTATAGAAGAAAGAAACTTTTATGGAAGCCTAAAATATGTCGATTAATTGTAACTTGGAGCAATTTGAAAACAAAAATGCCCTTTTGTGAACAATGCTGAGTTAGACATTTACTGCAGAATGCAGCCAGGATCTTTCAAAATTGTTCATGAAGGAGGACAGGACATGAAAGAGATGAAGAAACCCCAAAATAGCCAACAGTCCAGTGGTCACTGCCTTCATCCAGGATGTGGGCTTCCACAATCAAATTGATACTCAGAAGTAAGACAGAACGCCCTTTCTACCAACTTACTGACTATTCTGGGGTTTCTGGTCAGAGCCGTCTAGGCCCGAGTGAACTTTCTGAGTTTCTTCAAAACAAACATTTCACAAAAAAAGAGTTTGGGTTTAGAGAAATTAATATTTTCAATCAGTTTTCAATCAAAAATGTTTCAATCAATTCCAAAATATCAGCCTTTCTAAACACCTCAAGTTTTCTACAAGGCATCACAGAACACAATTAAGCACGCATTGTGCCCTTCACACCATCTTACAAGAAACACATTTATCATAAATGGTCTCAATGAGTTTTGCAGTGCAGCTGAACTCTTTTCAATGCTTAACTTTCTAACTCGTCTACCTGAAAGTCCAGTCCGTGTTCTTGCTAAGCTTGAGAGCGTCCAGAGAAGCACGCACATGATCAGAGGTCAGGAAAACAGACCTTATGACGACAGGCCGAGAGCCATGGGACTCTTCAGCCTAGAAAAGCGCAGGCTCAGGCGTGATCTGATGGCCACCTTTAAGTTTGTTAAGGGTGTCCACCAGGATCAGGGGGAACTTTTGTTCACCAGAGCACCAAGGGACAACAAGGTCTAACGGTTATAAACTCCTGCAAGACCAATTCAGGCTGGACATAAGGAAGAATTTCTTTACTGTCCGAGCCCCCAAGGTCTGGAACAGCCTGCCATCGGAGGTGGTTCAAGCACCAACTTTGAACACTTTTGTGAGAAAATTGGATGTTTATCTTGCTAGGATCCTGTGACCCCCAGCTGACTTCCTGCCCCTTGGGCGGGGGCCTGGACTCGATTTTCCGAGGTCCCTTCCAGCCGGAATGTCTATGACATCTATAATTCTTATCTGAATTCCTGTTGACCACAAGTCAAGTCACTTTGCTTCCCTTTACACAAAATTGAAATCAAGAAAAAGATATTAGCATCTGGCACATTTTTTGGAGAAAAAATAAGCGAAGTGCCATTAGTGAAAAGGAGGTGGATGGATGGGTGTGAACCAGAACACAAGGAGCTTTAGCATATATGTGCACGTGGAAAAGGAGGGAGTGGCAGAGAAACTGGGAGTCTTGGGTAGTTGGACAAGCTTTCATGTCCAGGAGGCTTTTTGGTCCCTCTCAATCAAGACTCCTGAGTTTCTGCAATGCTAGAAAAACTAGACAGCAGCTCCCATTCCTATCCAGATGCAGCCAACTTGCTGCTTTGCTACTGAGACAGGATTTTATAGCCAGGCTTTTGTCCAGTGGATTTAAGTGGCCATCACTGCCCTGCTGCATCCAGCTGGCAACTTCTGCAGTACATGGAGCACAGAGGGAGCTTCTTGTACAGGGGCCCTTTATTGCAGGACTTTACTGCCATTTCAGCCAGCTCTATACATATTTCTTTGCTGTGACCTGGAACTATGCAAGTTGGCCCCCCGTAGGCACAGCTGTACTGCTCACGTTCCCCCCACAGCACAGGCACACAGTTTGAGGTACATACCTCATACACAGAGCTGTCACCTCAGCACAATAAATGGCACATATCAGGATCAAGCTCCATCATTACTGCTATAAAGTGATTACTGCTCATTTTTCAGTTTAGAGCAGTTATTCTCACCTTTTTTAGACTTAAGGTACCCCTTGTTAGGCTCAAGGCACCCCTTGGAAAATGCCAGCTTTTAGTTTTCACAATTTTTTTTGACCATGGAAAAAACAATATTTTTTGTTCAATATCTTCATTAATGATCTGGGAGGTGGGATGGAGTGCGCCCTCAGCAAGTTCACAGATGACACCAAGCTGGTGGGTGCAGATATGCTGCAGGGTAAGACTTAAATTCAGGAGTGACCTAGACAAATTGGAGGATTGGGCCAGAAGAAATCTCATGAGGTTCAACAAGGTCAAGTGCAAAGCCCTGCACTTAGGACAGAACAATCCCATGCACCGGTACAGGCTGGGGACTGACTGGCTGGGCAGCTGCTCTGCAAAAAAGGACCTGGGGGTTACAGTGGATGATAAGCTGGGCGAGGGAACAATGTGCCCTTGCTGCCGAAAACGCCAACAGCATCCTGGGCTGCGTTAGTAGGAGCGTTGCAAGCAGATGGAGGGAAGTGATTATTCCCCTCTTCAGCACTGGTGAGGCCACATCTGGAGTACTGTGTCCAGTTTTGGGCCCCCCACTACAGAAAGGATGTGGACACTACAAAGAACAAAAGGCAAGTTACAAACCAGGCTGATGCTGATCCCCAGGCTATTCCACACCACATAAATAAAGAGGTAAAATAACAAGGTCACTGAGTCCGTCAACAACTCCCGATGATTAAAAACTTTCCACTGATAAAATTATTCCTTGTTGGTACCTTCTTATTACAGTAGTTTAAATAGAGAGCCAGCTGATTTCGTTTCCTTTCCTCTATTTCTTCACTTGACTGGCTGTCAACTTTGTCTTCAATTTTATGTAGCAGTGGCTCTGAAACACGCTCAAGCCATTTCTTGTATTGGATCTCCTTCTTCCTCAGATTTAAGAAGTCATTGTGATTCAAGTACTTGTCCACCTCCTAAGTGACAGATGGAGAATATTGATGTAGTTAGATAGATCTCTGAAGGCAGATACTTACAAGGTTATTAGAGTTTTCTATAAAAAGCAGTTCAAGAGCATAAGCCATGACCACTGAAACTCCCTCATCCCATCCCACCTGAACAGAAGGATTCAACAGAATGAAAGGACAGAATGGGCAAGTAAGTGATCAAACAGGAAGACCTACTATGAGTGATGGCCTTTAACTAGTTATAAAGCTCTATTCAGAGTCCCCTCTGCAATGGATGCTCCCCTCAGGGGCCTCAGAGTGGTGGTCTACCAGGAGGAACAGAGTATGTTGCCAAATGGGTCATGAATTACTAGCAAATACAGCATGGAGCTCCCCACTACTAATCAGAAAACACATTTTAGTTTCTCTCTCAGTAGAATATGGCACATGGTGCAGGGGACGGCAAGGCAATGAGGGGTATGAGACTACATTAAAATCAATTAAGGGATTCCCTTGATTAATGAAAGACATTGTGGGAAAGGCAGGAAAATACAGGGGCAAATAAACAGAGAGGGTAGCTGGGAGAGAGAGAGAGAGAGGTAAGTAGGAATTTGGCCAGGTAATGTGCCTGCTTTTTCTGTCTAAGTAGAAAAGGAGAATTAAATGGAAGCTGCCTGAAGGGACAGGAGAATGACAGTCAACTCTTTTGTGAGCAGTAAACTAAAGAGGCCTGCATCTGTGCATGCATGTTGAAAGCAGGCTGTTAAACCTGAGTTAACCCACAGATTCTGGCATGCCTTCAGAAGACAGGCAACAGAAAGTACTGTATTTCCTCATACTACACCCCTCCAAATAAAACATGCACCTTGTTTTTGGAAGGCAGGACATAGAAAAAAAGATTTTCCAGAGCATACTACACTATGTGACAGAGCAAGTCCTCCTGGAAACTGATTGTCCTGGAAGTGTGGTACATGAGGTGAGAGTCTAGGTAAGGCAGCAGGACCTTCCTGCTGTGGCAGGACAGCAACAACAGTAGGCCCCAAACCCTTGCAAGACTGTTACTTCTTTACTGTTAAATAGTTCTTCATATAAGTTCTGTAAATCATAAAGTGCTGCTTCCACACTACAAGCTGACAGTGCAGACTGCATGCAGCAGCTCACTCACCCTCAGCCAGCTCAGAGGCTCTTTAGCCAAATCTAGTCTCTCACCAGTGGTTGTGAGACAGTTAACATTAGGCTCTCCCCTGCTGTTTGTAGCCCTAGAGAAAAGTGGCTGCATCTTGGTGACATGTCACAGTGTCTGCTTGCTCTATTCCACTCTGCTTCTATTTCAATGAAGAAAAAAAAATATCAGCTTCCCCACTTAAAGCACGCATCTCATTTTAATACCGTGTCATTCAAACTTTTGGCCTTGTGGGCCAGATGAGTGGCACAGTCCACAAGATGGATCAGGCCCGATAGGCCCCCATCGCTGCCCAATGGGCCCCAGACTGCCCCAATGTTCTGTGCACGTAATCTTGCACACAGAGCCATGCCTGGATCTGGCCCACAGGCCAGGAGTTGAACACTCCTGCCCTAGTATATATTCAAGCACAATTAAGCCCAGAAGTGCCATATGTTTAGGGAACTAACATTTTACCATCAGCTAGTGATGGATAATGAACTTCTGACACCCTCAGGTCTTCTTCCCATGTAATCATCAGGATATGCAGCAAATGGAAAATGTGTGCATTTCTTACCTTCACAAAATAATCTTCTTCATCCAAGATGGTCTTGGCAGAATCAATAACACCTTTGCTTTCACTAGATACTGCCTAAAAAATATCAACAAAATACCAACCAAAACTGTGAAGTACAAATATTGAATCAAAATAGCAATTAGAATGGCCTCCAAGTTCAAAATGCACAGTAAACAACGGGCAGGTCGACACTGCAATCAAAGCCACAGCTATCACAGATGTTTGCTTTAATATAGGTAGCCTGGACATAAATAGCAGTGCAAGTACAGCAGCAAAGGCTTTTGTGTGTGCTGCACAAGCTTGCTGGGAGCTCCAATGACAGTTGAGTTACTTGCCCCCCACCCCAAGCCCATGCTGACTTAACTATGTTAGTTGCCTATACTAGTTAAATTAAAGCATTCCTACCCATGCTGTAATCACACCATCAACTACAGCGTAGGCATACTCTGAGTTAAGTGGAAGGGCTGACACCAGAGGTAGACATTACATTTAGCTACTCAGATTAAGTGTAGGAAAATGGACAAGGGTAATAAAAACGATTTAAAAAAAGACAGCAGAAAAATAAGAAGGAGCATGTGAGAATTGCCAGCTGAGAAGAAAATCTTGCGGACTGGAAATGCAGCAGAGATTTAAAATCTCTCTCCTATCGCAGGTCATGAACCCACCTGCATTTTACACTCCAAATATTTGCACAAGCCAGGTTCCGTTCAGCCTTCCCAACACCCTCATCCCCACACTCAATCCACAGCTTTGAAAATAAAAATACAGAGAAGTGGTTCCCAAAAAGTTGTCACATACATCACGCAGCAAAGTTAAAAGAGTGGTAATTCTCGAACTGAGCTGAGGTTCTCAATCCATCTTGGAGTTCCCGGGGCCTAATCCGGTACACTGCTGCAGCAAGTACCCTTCTTAGCAGCATCAACACCAAGCCAAGGAATGAATGGGTAATATCTCATAGACCAAGACGCAGCCTCAATGAGCGTCTTTCTGACACTGTTCCACCAGCTCTGGCAGATAAACCAGGTATTTGTTCCTAGGGAGTCAGTTTGGTGCCTTTTACAAGTTAAATTTTAAAAAGCTAAACAATTCTGAACATTATAGAAAAAATTCAACAACAAACTTTAAAATTCTACAATACATATTTATACTGTTCAGCCCCAGACCCATAACGCAAAAGAGACACAGGGACCATAACTGCAGTAAGAAGGGAAGGCCAGGCCTACATTTGACAAGTTGCCCCACTGGCTAAGCTAATTTAAAATCAGTTTAATTCATGGGTGCAAACTGCCAGTGTAGACAAGGTTCTTTGGGTGAATCTGGTCTCTTTTATTAAACCAACTTAAATAATTGTAAAAAAAATTTAGCACGTTTTCAGGTTTAAAAACCCTTCCTCAGGCTGAGGAAGTCTCTACAGTTGGTGTGTCTTTCTGGATGGAATGAAAGTAAAGAAGCCAGAGGCTGGGCTGGTATACATGCAAGACAGGCAGTCAGTGAAGATGTAAATTGAGGTGTCAGCAGGTGAGAGACAGGCTGGGTGGGGGTGGAGAGAAAAGGGGA